GATAGAAGGGAAAGGAAGGGAGGGGGTAAGGAAGGGAAGGGAGAGAAGGGAAAACGGGTGAGAGGGCTGAGAAATGAATGTGAGGCAATGGGTAGAATATAATGAATGTTGGTAGAAGCTGGGTATAAGTAAGAGAGGGAGGAAGGCGAGGTATGGAGGCTGAAGTAAAAAGAATGAGGCAGCATTTTATAATATTGCACATTTTCATTTTGTGACAGTACAATACGCACCATGAACAAAGACCACCACTCAGAAGATGGTGCTGTGTAGTATGTGGTGAAGGGCCAATAGTTAAAGAACTTCCTACTTGTTTATGTAGCAACAGTGATTATGGGAAAAGTAGTCTAATTTGGAGAAACACTTGTCATAGCAATGGCACTTGTCTTAGATACTGTTAAGCAGTCGTGTTTACCATGATTTGATCCCTTTATGAAGAAATGCAGCCAGTCCTAACGAAGGGTCATCTGACAAAAAAATTGAACTAGAAAGCACTGCATCTTCCATCTAGGCACAACAAAAACACAGGTGTGCAGTGGCCTCACCATGACCACAACAAGCATCATGCTACATCACGCCTGAGGGGTATTGCACAAAACCAAGATATGGGATTAAGCCGGGATATGTTGGTCATCCTGTTTGAATTTAGCCTCAAGTCGGTTGCATGAAAGCAGCTCAAACTTATCCCGGCCAAGTTACTATGGTGATATATTCTCTGCAGCTTGCCTGCTCCAGACCAGGCTAACAGTCAGGCTAAGATTAGTCCATCGTCAATCCTGTGAGGAATTAATGTGTTTTACAGCATGTCAATGGTCTTTCTAAGTATGTTGCATCATTTTAATTATCTTGCAGTAAAATATTACATATATATTGTCATTTCTCATTTAATTTAAATCTGTTGGCTGTTTGTAATTGCAACAGTCGTTTTATATTGATTCAAGTGGTAGTATTATTACTCAGGCCAAGTGTTATATTGCTATGCTAATGAAGACTGCTTGTCAAATTGCATAAATATGTGTTTTATTGCAGTAATTGAGATTACAAAACACAGCTGATGAAGTTGCAAAGGTGTTTTCAATGAAATCTGTGACAAGGGCAATATAGTATATATATTATGGCATGCCGTTTAGGAAATTAATCTTTGAATATATAAAATGAAACTTTGAATATATGGAATGAAACTTGACTGGTCATCAAGGCACTGCTGCCATCTTGTAGAAGTGAGAATGAGTCAGTCAGGAACCTTGTGGCAGCAATACTGAGCAATGAGGACATTATTAACTCATTGGCAAGTGCTTGTACGGGCCAAAATCCTTCCCATAGTACCCGTGCCCAATACCGTTCTCCTGACGAAGAAGTTCACTCCTTTTTTAATCGTGGCAGCAGAAGCAAAAAAGTTTTCCAGTTCAAGAAAGTATTGTAATATTTCAACTGATGCCATTTTGTAAAACCAGCTAATTCAGAAGGCTATCACTTTGATGAAAAGGATACAACTAGGTTTTTAATTTCATTCAGTATTCTCACATTTTTAGCAGTATATTCAAAGCTTCATTTCCTAAACGGCATGCCATTATATATATATATATATATATATATATATATATATATATATATATATATATATATATTATTCACACCTGTTCCCTCTTCATAATGGCTTGCCCTTTTTTGGAGGATGTTCTGGATGAGGAAGCCCTAATCCTCAGACGAGCATTTAGTAATGAAAGAGTCTTCCAGGACAGGTCAGACCCATTGGCCGTTGGAGATGACTATCTCATTGAGAGATACAGATTCTCAGGTGATGGACTAAGATATTTATGTAGGCTGCTGGGTCCAAAAATACAGCACCAGATGGCAAGAAGCCATGCTCTCACTGTACCACAGATGGTCTGTGTTACATTGAGATGTTTTGCAAGTGGGAGCTTCCTTTATTCTGTTGGGGATGCAGAGAACCTCAATAAAGGAGCCATTTGCCGCACATATCGTGGCTTGGTGGGCCCCCTGTGCCAGTTCTATGGGCTTTTTTTTTAACTGCTACAATCATACAGACATTCAACATGTCAGCAGACAGCTAATCTATTCACCTCATTTGTTCACTGTTATCCACTTTATAGTCACTTTCCAGCCTGCAAAATGTTCTTGTATTTAATTTTAACTTGCTGCCAGGTCCTTTTATGGCCAGACAAGTTTGTTCTTTATGAAGGATAGAAAAATAAAATAGATAGAAATAGATGGATTGTTAGCACTTAATCATACTCTACATTTCCTGAGCAACATGCACCTGTACTTGCCACATTTAAAGCAAAGTGTACAACCGTTGATTAGTGGACTTAAAGTAACTCCTTTAGTCCTTTAATTGTAGCCTAATTATGACAGTTCCAGTGGAGCACTGTTTATTCATTGTACAGTTTTGGACTACTTAAGCATTAAGCTGGTCCGCTATTGTCTGCCAGGCTTTCTCTCTTTCTTTAATTATGGCATTGGTATTGCCTTTTTTTCATAAACCTTCAACCTCTTCATAGAACTCCATCTGGAGCTGTTGTTCAGCGGCCGTGAAATATGAAGCGCGACTCTTATCCATGTTCCCATCGGTGATTCTGTGAGCGATCGCGAGGTCTAGTTCAGTATGCCGTGAACACGCACTTATCCCGACTATCTACACCTGGCTTGACATAGCCGCACCTTTTAATCCTGGCTCGGCAAACGTGCAACCAATTAAGACAGGATGCGCTGAGCAGGCTAAGTCAAGCCGCGCTTGCTCAATTATCCTGGATTTCTTTATCCTACTTTTGTGCAATACCCCTCTGCACTGGGTGTGGAAAAAACATGTTGTTGTTGGCAGTGCAAGGTTTTTAGACTCGCTGCAGTTAATCTTTAATTGAAAACAGAAATTGACGTGTTACTCCTTAAAATAATCTGTCTTCAAATAACTTCATGTATCTCCAGTATTTTCACTTGGAGGAAACCTGTTGCTCAATCCCAGTCGCTCCCAATAAATAATGCAAACATACCTATGAATCATCTATTCTATTTTATTTCCTCCTAAATGTTACACACTGGACCTTTAAAGCATCAGGGTTGATGCTCATTGATGGCTATTTCTTGGATCGGTGAACCAAAGAGCTTTGTTGGCAGGTATAGGATTTAGGATGTCATCTTTCTGCAAAGAGCCAGAAAAATGGCATCAGGCATGGGTGAGACTGACACAGCTTTACAGGTTTTTGTAAGCCGACTTGCAGAAATAACAAATCATAAATGTGCACATTTGCCTGATGGACATGACAAACATTAAGTTAACAGTTCCTAGCAGCCATCTTCCATGTTGACTTAAAACGACATCCTTGGGACAAATATGTCACTCTTGCTTATTCTGCCCTAACACTGATTGGTTAGGGCAAAAATAACAACCCCTCCCCAACAGGACACAGCTAACGTGAACACAAAGTCAGACTGAAAGTTCAAACATTAAAACTACATGCTACCTACAAACAGTTGTCTTATATGTACATATGTTCTGTAACATTTTAATAAAGGAGAGTTAAAGGCTAATGGCTTTACGCTCCACTGTGTCGCTTTGTATGACCAAGGACAGTGTGGATGTGAGTGAGGCAGAAGATAATGAAATATAAGAGGAGCAAGAGTGACAGTTAGTGAGTCAGCCAGTCAATCAATCAGTCAGTGAAACAGTGTCTAGCGGGTAGCAGAAGGTACAGTAATATATATGTGAGGAGGGGTGGTGGTGAGGGGGAGTGAGAGATCTCAGGAGAGTAGGAGTCGAGAGAGGAGAAAGGGAATCGTTTCAGGTTTCTATCATTTGCCATGCCACCTTTCTTTTGTCACCCCCCCCCTCACTGAAGCTGACGGGGGTCTGGGGAGGGTAAGGTTACCTGGCTGTCCCCTGCTGGCTCCGCTCTCTTTATTTTCTGGTTACACAAACTCACACAGCTCCATACTGGCTGCTGCATAGATTTTGGAGCAGCAGTTGTCACAGCTGCTCACAATGAGCTTTATGTTTCTGTTAAATTGCTGCTCCTTAGTCGACTACAGAGGGCCAGAAGTTGTCAGTGCACACACACCTTTTGATGCTATTTGAAGCTGACAATTATCACATTTTGCTAATGCATCTTAATACTAAATAATAATTACAGTGTGGGCACCGGACAATGATTCATTAGCAGAACAAGCTAGATGAGTCAGGATTTTATTTTACATACAGTAAATACATTATTTCTGTTTCGTTAGGTACAGAAAAATTAACTAAAAATGCATCAGGAACTGGCTACAACAACAAGTAGTGAAGAAAAACAGCTCCAGGCTTTGCTTTAGGAACAGAGGCTACATCTATCTTTTATAAATACCAGTAATGCTGCTGGCCAAACTGGTACGCCAACTGTTTCAGTGGGTCAGGCTGATGACAGGGATTGGTTGTGACTGGTTCAGATGTAAAGTACAACTTGGAGTGCTGTGCAATCTGAAATGTTGTGTTGCGGCTTCAGATGCCAATTTTGAGATCTGAAGGCAAAAGCAGCTGAGAAGCAATTGAGTACAGCGTAAGTGCTGCACATACTGAGGCCTCTCCTGCTAAAGTCTGTCGGCTATATTGGATTGCAAAGCAGAACTGACAGATGGTCTGGTAAGCAGGTAGTTTCAGCCAAGCAGTCTGGTAATATATTCCCCCAAAAATAAGTTTTTTTCTACTAAAAGAGTTGAAAAGTAGAAAAAATGTTTGGCTCAGACACAAAGTACATGTGAATAAGGAACAGAGAAACATGAAGAATAAAACTCCTAATCCTCCTATTGTTAAAGCTGGCATCTATGCTTGATGAATGTAACTGAGTAGCTTGTATCTTGTTGGGGATCCAGACACACATATCGGATTATTTTACCCACTGAATCTGACCACAAGACTGGGTGGACATGTTTTTCTCAGTTCCTGAAGGTTCGGGTCAGCATTCAATTACGAAATCAAGATATATTTACATGAAGTTTTGTTTGTTTTTCAGTTAAAGACCCACGGCCCCAGCTTCACTCGTCTCCACGCGCCCTGGCCGGTACTGTGTCGAGAGGCCGAGTTTCTCAAGATTAAAGTCCCCACCAAGACGGTGAGATCTCAGTAGCAGTTTGAATTTTATTAGCAGTCCATGTGCAGCTCTTTTTAGCTTTGATTGTAGAAAATGTTCTAAATCTAAAACATCACTGGTAAATGTAAAGTTTTGATAAAGAGTCTTTCACCTTCTTTACAGAGCCACAGAATTCAATAAGCAATCCTAGAGAGACACTGATAATGATATTTATATCAATAATGTATTAGCGTTTCATTTCTACAAATTGTATTTTCTGTAAGGCACTTAACTAAGTTGACTCATTCTGTGTTGTGTGTTTCATCAGAGTTATGAGCTTAAAGAGGAAAGTGGTTTTGGGTCCGCTATGAGCACAATGTGGAGGAAAATGAACCAGCCTTTCCAGCCCAAAGTACCACATCAGGACCACGAACGCACCAAGTTTCTCTCACACTGCTTCTCCAGGGACAAACTCCATCTGTGAGACACGCACCTATACACACACACACACACACACACACACACACACACACACACACTTTTATGTCTTCCATGGCTGTCATAAACCACAACTTCACAGATAAGCAGAACTGAGCTGAATTTAAATGTCTGGGATGTAGAATTTAATGGCACCTTTATCACATTAATTCCTTTTAAAATCCAATGAGTTGAATTCATAAGCAATAAAATGCACTGTTTAGTTCAATACCCCCAGCAGTTTTGTATCTACAGCCTCAGTTGGTCTGGTACCAGTAGCTGAGGTGGCTAATGTTAGCAAACTGCTCATACTTCTAATGACTCACTACATTTTAGCAGTTATTAATGCTGAAGATTCACACACAGCTCTTTATTCATCGGTTGTGTTGTCTTGCAGGTACAACATCACATCTAAAGACACATTCTTTGACAACGCCACAAGGGGCCGAATAGTAAGTGTTCATTCACACTGAATCTGTTTTTCCCTCATGCGGTGTGTTTTAGGATTAGCTTGTATATCCAGTCTAATATTCTTACATCTTTTGTAGGTATATGAGATCCTGAGACGGACCGTGTGTGTACGAACCTGTCAAACCATAGGTGAGGTTAAACAACAGTTCATAGGCAAAACAGTGTGTGTTGGGAGGAGTTTACTGAACACATGCAGCCCTTTCAATCCCTGTACGTTCTTCAGGTTGACATGTATACTTTGACTTGGTCAGTAATTAAATGATTGACATTAGGTGGACCCATTTGAGATCTAATGTTGCTGCAGGCATAAGCATCTGAGAAAGGTCGGTCAGTGTTGTCCCTTGTTAAAAATGGTGCACAAAATAATCAATGATTTTATCCACCTCTGTTGGCAAGAAACAGGATCTGCTTACCTCTCCCATCCCTTTGAAGTATGATGGCCTGTAATTGATTAAAAACAGGCTAATTTTGGAGGTGACTTGCTAAAAACAGCAGAGGTCCAAGAAGAATCTAGCAAAGAGGTCATGAATCACAAAACTGGGATAAAACCCAGATGCATAAAACTCTGTGTGGATTCATGATTCAAAGACAGAAATATGCAGATTAGGTTAGATTAGGTTTTATAAATCTCAATCTTTTTCCAGTCCCACAATTATCCATAAATGGACGTAGAAAGGCCCTTGGAAAACCTGTATGCATATAAATACCTGTGCCCTCTCTACCTCTCATAAGAGCTATCAACGAGAAGAACTACAAAGAAGAAAAAGTGGAACTTTTTCAAGTGGCTGTGGCTATTTATAGCACCCGTACCACATATTCATCACAGGTCCCTGTAAATCATCATTGCAGGGATATTTCATTCGTCATTATTAAACATCAGAAGGGATGATAAATGATTTATAGGCTACAGCTAATATCGAAACAGACTTCGCAGAGTGCTTCACAGTTCAAGATCAAATGAAAACATTATTGACGGAAATTATGGTGTGGCAGTTGCTTGTTTTGGCTTAATAAAAAGTCTTTATGAGCCTTTGTTGTGGATATCTTGTAATACCGATCACTGATTCATACTTAAGCACCATCCCCATCAGCTCAAAAGCTGCTCAAACGGCCAGTCAGTATGAAGTGTAGTATTGAAATTTTGATTTGGAGTTTTCTCTTCAAGCGCATGCATAGCCTGGAAAATTAAAATCCCAGCAACAGGCTGGGTAATAGTCCCCGAGAATGAACAACATCTCGATCAACCCCCAGCAGACATAGGTTATTTCCTGCTGTGGGACATAAAAAAAGCATGCATATTATCCCTTTAAGGTTGAGATTAAAAAGGAAAAGCAGGTGCAGTGGAACACTTGTGTAACATCTTAGTGTGTGACACTGCAGGGCAAAGCCAGCTGTCAGTTGCATTTCGAGGTTGTGCTGAAACTCTCAAATACGACCGGACTGTGTTTGGTAGACTACAGGTGAAGTGGGAGGTGATATTGATATGCCCGCTGGGAGTTCAGTGGGGAGGTGAAGTGAGGTGGAGTGCGGCTGACACAAAGAAGGAGAGCAATGAACGGATAATTGGATGAGACAGACACCTTTTTAACCCTAATTTGTTTGGGCATTTGTTTTGGGCTTTGTAGCAACGCCCTGCTCATCAGCGTGTTCCTACAAGACATCCGCTGGGACGATTGGCAATTAAAAGTCTGAGCTCACCTCAGCAGCGGTGTCAGTTGTTTATCACTTGTGTGGGCAATGTTGACAAAGTCTATTGAGATGGCGCAGCTACATAAAACGACAAATATGTAAGACACACCACAAATGATTCAATGAGGCTTGAAAAATGGGTCCATCACTGTCTGTATGACACATAAATCATTCAGGTTAACATGGGCCTTTCATATCTGTAGATTTAAATGATATGCAGATAACAGCTGGCTATCGGTTCATGAGACCCATCACTCGCATATAGAAATGAGCTGACACCCGTTTCCAGTGTTCCACCATATGTCTCCTTGGCTTCCCCATCACAGCAGAAGGTCTCAGCCAGCGGGTACTGATGGAGCTGCAGGGGAGGAAGGGGAGAGAAAATAGAGTTGCATCTCTTTAACCTCTATCTTCTCTTTCCTCTTCATTATTGGTGTATATATTTTATCTCACACACACAGACACGGACACAGAGCCCGCTCCATGTGTCTCTGCTGACCTCTTCCTCTTCTCCTCTACAAGTGGGTCATACTTCCTGGGTCAGGCTGAGATTGTAGCCGGGGCCTCTGGGAGTTGTGGTTGTTTCTAGCCAGTAGCCGGTAAAGTGAGCATTCCCAGCATTTGTCTGTGTGCGAGTTGCGAGTTTCATTAATAGCACAGCTAATCACTGCATAGTTCACAGTCACCTTTGAGGCACGATCATTTATTGATTAATTACTTTGAGCCAGTTTGGTGTGCCAGGTCATCAGACGTGTCCGTGTCAGCCATGACATTCACAGGTCAGGACTTCACTTCTCGACTAAAAGTGTTACCTACGTAAACCAATCCCAGTCTGCCTGGCACTGAAAAATGGAATTGAAACGGTGCAGGCTGCAGTTGTGACATTTTGCAATAGCTTGGCTATGCAGCCTACTAATGTGAATGTAAAGCCAGCTAGAGAACGAGCTCCTGCATGTGCAACAAAAACAAGACTGCTAGACAACAACCAATTGGTTGGAAGCACAATGTCAGTGACACCGATAAAGTCCGAGTTTACAACCACTCCAAGTGTCCTTGAACACGACGTTGAATCTGAACTAGTGAGAAGATGAGTTTCATCTTCAGTAATCAATAACATATCAAAAGGACACAGCAGTGTGCAGCACTAGATGTAAGATAAATAACAGAAGGTGCTCTTTTAAAATGGCTACCACTTTATTTCACGCCACATCTTGGAGCCATTTGGTGTTAACTCGCTCATTAATGCCGGTGACTCAACTATTACTTCACCAGCTGCTTGAGTTTCTGGTTTAAAAAGTAAATCTTTAGCCCAGACTATTGAGAGGAGAAAATGTCCCATTTCACCAAAAGACAAAGCTTACAATATCAGAATGTGTCTGCAGTCGATGCAGTCGTGATTTACATAGAAGGTACGTGAGGGTTTCAGTGATGATTTGGATGACAGGGCAGGAGGAGAAAAAAAACCTCAGAGTGACATTCAAATACCGCTTTGGGGTTCTCTCATGTCTCCCTCCCTCTCTCTGTCTTTTCCAGGCATCAGCACGATGATAGCTAAAGGCGTGTATGACTCGGCCTTCCCTCTCCATGATGTAAGTGTGAGGTTTAGAATTCCCACCGGGCGCCACTTGGTTTTAATTTATTTTACACTACAATATTCAATTTGCAGAGAATGGAAACTTATCAGTCTAGCCAGAAATAGAAATGGAAGAAAAGACCAAATTCTAATTTTCAGCAGCTGACACTAATAATCCCAAATGTTGAAGCTGTGTAGATGCACATTGGAAGCACAAACAAGTGAGGGTTCTCAGAAAAATCCCTGCTCTCAACACAACTCAATTAATGCGATATTGATGAGATATCGAAGCAAGTTTTAAGTCTCTGCAGGTAGATTTTTCACTCAAATAAACTACATAACATTTTCTATGAAGGTCATGTAAGATATAGCATTTATAATGCTTTATAAAACTATAAATATTTATGATCACGCATGACAACTAACGGTATAACAAGGTTTATAAAGTAGTAGTAGTAGTAGTAGTGGCAATAATGTGTTATAAGTTTAACATTCCTAATGCTTTATACCTCCATGCCAAAGCTACATAACTATTTGCAACTTATGCTTAGTATCATATAACTTTATACAATGCGGTCACTTTATACTTTAAGGTTACAAAGTCCTGCTATAGCAAATTATTGATGTTTATAAGACATTATTACATTTTTGAATGAAGAATCTGAGTCCTGGGTCACACAGAAAATGATAACCACCATAACATTATAAACATAACGTTATAAAGAGAGAGAACTGCTCTAAAGTGTCAACTTATTATAAATTCTTTATGAATAGTATCTTACAAACATCAATAAAATGGACTTTGTAAGCTTAAACTAAAGTGACAGCACTGTATGAAGTTATTAACAATTGTATGATAATATAACAGCAAAGATTGCCAATAGGTACGTAGCTTTGGTATGGAGGTATAAAGCATTATGAATGTTAAATTTATAATACATTATATCCACCACTTATACTACTTTATAAACAAGTTTTATACAGCCATATACATACATTGTAATGTTTTATGAATGTGCTTATAATGCATTATAGATATGATCTTCACAGAAAGGGTTACCATAAACTTTAAGAAATTCTAAAAGCTAAATGTGTGTAGTGTAGGAAGTCGCCAAGTGCTTGCTCATGGTGGGAACTGTTGGGTTTCTGTTAATAATTTTATAAGGATTACGGTCTAGACCTGCTCTATTTGTAAATCAACTTTTGTTATGAATTGGTGCTATAGAAATAACATTGAATAGAATTGTATTTGGACAGTTTCTGTTTAATTATAATGTATTTTTGCAGTCTGTGTGTTAATGTGCACTCACCCTCTCTTCTCGCTCCTCAGGGTGACTACAAGGTCACTGGACACCTTGAGGAGAAGAGTGACAGACAGGTAGGCCCACTCCTCTCATTTCTCTCTCTCTTCCCTCCACGTGTCTGTCTAAAGATAAACTACAAAATGTTCACTGCTATAGACTGTAGCCACTGCTCTAGCACTGCAGAATGTGGTACAGTGCTGACGTCTGTCATCTGAAAGTCTAGACATTTTAAACTCCCAACAGCTGAAGAGCTAGGCAACCTGAACTTCTCTAAACAATGGTTTCATCTGTGTCTTTCTCCTTTTTTCATTTCTGAGCTTGTTCCTCCTCTTCCCATCTGTCCAATACTGTCACAGATTGGAGTTTAAGTTCAATAAACATTTCTCCGAGGCAGAGCTGCGCTCAGGAATACAATGCTCGCTGGCTGACTTGAATTTCAAAGGACGGAGCAAAACAAAAACTGTTTTTGGAGAGTAGGTTAGCAAAGCGAAAAAAACAACAGCAGACAATGAACTCTGGTCAAAATGAAAGTGAAAATTAAAATAATCTTCATTCAATCATGGTCATGGCAATCGTGTTTTACTGTTAAACCAGTTCATTGTTGTGAGATGATATTCTTTCATCTTCCTCCTCCTTTACCTCTCTTTCCCCTCGCTTTGGGATAATGTTGCTCAAACTGCAGCTCTTTGGCTTCATCCACTGAGGTTTGACTCAACCAGTCAAATTATTTCTGCCTCCAGATCAGCTCTGAGGATTGTTTGTTGATTTTCAATCTGCCACATCTGGTAAATGCTCAACATGACAACCCACACCCACACTGACTCTGTCTCTCTTTCCTGTCAGGTTCTTCACGAGGAGTGGGCCAGATACTCGGCCTTTTACAAGTACCAGCCCATTGATCTTGTCAGGTAACGTGACCACAGCACCGAAATGTGGAAATCACATCAGTAACTCAAATGTTTTCAGCCCTAAATGGTTTTGCTTCATCAAATTAACAACTCAAGACAGCTGATTAGTGAATGACACACTGCAAATATACAGACATCACAGTGCATTATGGTTATTGTAGTTCACAAACCGAATTTTGAAATTTATCTTTATTACAATATCCCAACCAAATCTTTTTTTTTTGCGGGTCAATGTGATTGCACACACAGTATGTACTTTGAGGAAGTTGCTAGTGACAGTAATCATACTGCACGTTTCTGTGGAAAATGAATTATAAAGTGAATTTGAAGTCTGAATTAGCCATATATCTATATCTCCCAAAGTTATACATAGTCTTTTTAGAAGGGAATTCTCTCTTTGGCTATTGCTATGTGGATATATGAGTAGTAAAATAGACACACTAAATAAAAGATAGAACCTGTCCTTTCAATCAGAAATGAAAAGGACCACTTCACTCTGAGAATATGAAATGTAGAGCGTAAAAGAATCAAATCACAAAATTACTAAAACTGTCCTTTAAAAGGGAACAGGTTCTGATTTGTGTATTTTAGTTATTGTATTGCTTTCCACCAGATTGTGTACTGCCCCTAGCAAGTACCACCAATCAAATGATTATGTTATTAGGGATAGTTAAAGGCCCTGAAAACATATTTTCCCAATCACTGTGAGTCTTTGATTCCCACATGAACACAGACTTTTCTGTCAAAGTTCGAACAGTTTCGATTCTTTCATTAGTGTTTTTCTGTGTTTTTCTGTTTTTGTCTGAGCTTCACCAGCATAGTAAACAGCATCGAAACAGGAAGGAAGTGGTAAAGCCCGCCTCTTGCTTGATATGATGGGGGAACAATGGTTTGGTTTTTAGCCATGCGTCTCTGTGTGATTGGCCCCTAAGAATGTTCTTAAATGTTCTTCAAAATCTTAACTTTGGTCCACACTGCCTGCTTCTGCAGCGCCTGTGTATCGGATTGTCTTGTTATATATTTTCGCCGCCCTGCAGATTAGAACAGCGACACTGCCCGCGTGAGTCACGCTTCGCTCCTATTTTTTCCGCAAGCCGCACGTGGTTCCATGCAAAAATAAACAGCGAAAAGGGTCTGTTCATAGTTATTCCAACATTAGAACATGTCACCTTCTAAATCTGTTTGAAATTGAAAGCTCTCGCAATTCTGTGGACAGAATCTATTCATATGTTAACCGGGCTTTTATTGTACAGTATTATCAAAGGCAAACTCAGTATAGAAAGATAGGGCTGGCAGCAGCAGCCCTGCAGCAGAAATGCTCTCGGTGTGGTCACCTCAGGCGTGCGAGCCGCAGAGGTTCAGCGAGGCAGCCGCCGCGCATTGCTTAGGTAGGCAGTGTGAACCAGGTGTAATGGATGTTTAATTTTATGACAAAAAATGCTTAAAATTTTAAAACATCTTTTCTATAACGTTATAGTTAAGTCCATGTTTGAGGCTCATAGTCTCTCTGTTGTAGCATAGGAAGTGGAGTTTGTACACAAGGTGCTTTTCAAAAGCTCACTGTAATGAATGAAATCCCTAAATAAAACATTAACACACCTCTTTCTCTATTTTAGCATTTTATTTTTAACACAGCATTAGGATTCCAGCTTGCTGCTTCACTCTCCACAGTCTGCTCCGTGTTCACCGTGAACTTCACTGACACTTTCCCCTCCTAATCCCTGACCTTTACCCCACAGGAAGTACTTCGGCGAGAAGATCGGTCTTTACTTCGCCTGGCTCGGTGTATACACCCAGCTGCTGATACCAGCCTCTATAGTGGGAATCATTGTGTTTTTCTTCGGGGTGGCAACAGTGGAGACTGATATACCCAGGTACTACAATGTGTACTGCAGCTGCATTTGTAAAATCACACATTTCAGTTGAATTAAGGTACAAAAAAATGGACAAAACCCAGTGTGACATTTCTCCTGATTTTAATGTGGAAGATGCTGGATAAAATACTAACATTAGAAAGATGCAGAAAATTAGGATTTCCTCCTACCATGATTAAATGTATGCACACATGCCCTCACACACACACTAGACAGGGATTGCCCAGATACCTGCTGTAGCTGGCTTTAGTCAGAGTTGTGTGGGAGGAACACAGAAGGTACGGCTGGCAGTGTGTGAGCGTGTCATGAAGCAAAAGGTTGATAATTCAGCCTACACCGACTATGAATAGGGTCAAAGCAGAGAAGCTCGTATTGTGGTTATGTGTTAAAAAGTTCCATTCATTTCTAATGTTAAATGTAACACACACAGGCACTGAATCTGTGTACAGCAACATAACTTTTTTAAGGCTGGATTAATGTTGTTACATCTAAGTGCTGTGTGACCTAAGTCTCGATTTTCTCCCTCCTTAGCCAGGAAATGTGTAACGAGAGTCTCAATTTCACCATGTGTCCTCTGTGTGACGGAGTCTGTGACTTCTGGCACCTCAGCACCGCCTGCGGCACAGCCAGAGCCTCACACCTCTTCGACAACCCCGCCACTGTCTTCTTCGCCATCTTTATGTCTCTGTGGGGTGAGTGCGTGCATATGTGTGTGTGAAAAGGGTGGCCTGAACGTGAAGTTGCTCATTAATATCTTACAACCTCCTTCACCTCAAGTGCTAGTCCCGCTGAGAGCAACAAGCTAAAACAGCACATTACAGGATAACAAATGCAGAAAGTACATTAAAAAAAGAACATTTGGATTTGCAGCACAAACACTATGTAGTCTAATGGTTAATTGTTTTTTCCAAGTTAAACTTTGGTAAAACAAAAACGAGCTGGGCATTAGAGGACATTTTTGACCCTGGAAACAGTAGTGTAATAGAAACAAATTTTACAAACAAATACTTATTAGCTTTTTCCATAGCTTTTAACCAAATATTCCCACTTTCCAGCCCTTTTCCAGAGCTTTCTACAGGATATGCCCACCTACTAGTTTTTTTCTCAAGCTTTCATCCATGAGATGCGGTAGGAAGCTTACTTACTTGTAGAAAGCAAGTAAGTAATGTTTGTAAAATTGGGCAGTGAAAATAAGAAAATTCTTCATGTGCCAAAACTCTTTATTTTGATCAGCAGTCAGATCACTGCCAAACCATAAATGCATCAGTTTGTCAGTGCATCTGAAGATGGAGATCATTCTAAGGAGTTTCATCCAAATGATTTGACTTGTGTTTGTGCAGCGGTCCTGTTCCTGGAGCACTGGAAGCGCCGTCAGATCAGTTTGAGCTTCAGTTGGGATCTGACCGGCATCGAGGAGGACGAGGTATATACAGCATATAAGGACATAAGCAAAGTCACACAAATTGCACACAACATAGAAATGTGTGGATCCATATCAACACACTGACATAAGTGCATCGAGCAAATCACAAAACTTTACATTTTTATAGCAACAATGTTTCTAAACGTTCAATGGCAAAGTCGACTAAGATTATTTATTCCTACAGTACAATATCAGTGCATGGCAACAGTAGAGTCCGGCAGCCAGGTCCAGCCCTCAGGGTGTTTTCTGCTAACTATTTCCAGTTAGCCTATAGCTTGGGTCATCAGAAGTAGATAATAAGCACCCCCAACTCAGCGCTGTTTGATGTCAGAGAACCTGAAACCCCTTTTTTGGGGTATGTTTCAGGTGAAATGACGCAAATATGAAGGTACTGTAATTGCATTAATAATCATATAAGTATGACAATTGGCAGGGAGTATCCTGAATTGTATATAGAAAACTTCCCACAATCATAAACTTCAATTTGAGCCTAAGATAAACTTTCTATCTGGAATAATTATTATTATACTTGCTGTGGCCAAAATTATTCCTCTATACCCCAAGTCAGAAAAAACTAAATTTTCAGTCAAAAGGCTTCCAAATGGGGGTAAGCATATTTCTTACGTCTAATAATATGTTCATATGTACTGCTACTGCTGCTATCTAAAGTAAAGGACATGAAACACAGTTAAGCATCTATAGTTATGGATATTGGATATCGAAAAACACTTGTAAGTACATACAATTGTGACTATCTCTCCTGTTTTTGTCTCAGGAACATCCCAGGCCAAAGTACGAAAACATCCTCCTTCAGAAGAGACAGCGGAAGCAGAAAAATAAGAAAAAGAAGAAGAAGAATGAGGTAGGGAAGAAAAGAAACCTCTGTCCTTTCCCATAAAGCCTATTAACTCTTTGCATTACGAAATATGAACATATGGATTCCATTCTCTTAGCTGGACCTGACTGTCAACAGTACTAATGGAAAGGTATTTTACAGTAAAACTCATTCATATCACCATATATTCCTTTCTGCTGGGAAAACAAACGCGTGATCAGCTGATCATGAAACTCGCCCACACGGCTCAGTCTCCACATTTGGAATCAGATGGTTCTTAATGATCCAGATGGATCCTGATAGTCTGGTTTCCAAAGCGCACGGCAGACATTAGTGTGATAATCTACTGATTGGGAACGATCTAGATTCAGTCTCTAAATTGGGTCAATCACATTGAGTTCTGTTGGCCCACATACACTTTGCTGCGGCGACAGATGGCTTCCTGCCACAGCGCGAATCTCAGAGGCAGGAAGTGATTCACATGATTCAGGATCACGGCTTCACCATCCCAAATACCTGACCTCGGGATAAAAGTAGGAAACCTGAGGGATGCGACTGGTGTTTTTTGTTTTTTTTGTAGTGTGTGTCAACATTGTGTTTCAAGAAAAAGAAAAAGCTCCACACAGTTCCCCCACAAGGAATTGAAATAATTGTTTATATATTGATTGTATATATACAGTACAAAACCATGGCTGCTGACAACTCTTCGCCTATACTGTATGTTTTCTGCTACAGTCGTGGAACGTATAACTCATTGTGTATTATCCCTCACATACCTCATACATTTTGCAATACATACATTCTAAATTAGTATAAAATCAGAATGCTTTTATTATGCATATACATTAATAATAAAAGCAATAAAGATAGGGAAGGGTCTGTACTGGGGGCAGAAAATGGCTTAATTGTGATTGTGTATACGTTTTTGTACGTTTAGGCGTGGTTTCTGTGTGTGTGTGTGTGTGTGTGTGTGTGTGTGTGTGTGTGTGTAACCTGTCCCTTTGTCTTGCAGCCAGACAAGCCGGAGGACGGGACAGAGACAGGGAAGGACAGATGGAGACAAAAACTACTGTCTGCCATGGCTGCAGGAATACCGGTAACCCCTCCTCTCCTCTTCTCTCCTCTCCTCTCCTCTCCTCTCCTCATCTCCTCCTTTTCCTCTTTTACTTCCTCTTCCTCCTCCTCTTCCTGCTCCTCACTTCCGTTTCCAGGCTGCAGTCTATCTGTTCTTGTCTTCCTGTCCCATCCTCTGGCTTCTACAGTCTCAACTCCTCAGGTACTTGTTCGTGCATCTAAAACGAAAACTACTTTCATCCAGATATCTGAGATTCACAGCAGCAAACTGAGCCTTAGTAACGTTTTTAAGAGTGTCTGTGGGACTCATACCATGACAGAACTATTCTTTCAGGGTCTGTTGCTTAGTTGAAGTTGACTGAAAGTTCGCCTTGCAAATCACTACTCTCATTTCCTGTCCTATGTGAGCTTCTCTCTCCCATTAATGAGGTACAAATGAGATATATGGTAATTGGAGGTTTTTATTCAAAGCAGTCTGTGGGAAATCTACGTATTAGGTCTTTAATAACAGACCACCATTTTTGTCATTTTTGGAAAGAAACCTCTGAATTGTTCCCGTCTACTCAAGCTCAACCATGGAAAGTTGTTTGTAGAGAGACTGAGCCTGTTTAGGTTAGACATTTTGTTGTGCAAAAATAATGTGTATTTCCCAGCAGTGAGGGAACAGAATGCACCTACCTTCAGCAGAAGAGGAGATGAATCTGTTTTTTACAACAACAAAAAAAAAAATCAATATCAATGAAAACAGAGGCAGTGTGTCTGGAAACTCCAGCAGGTGGAATGTTTTTGTTCCAAAGCAGAAAAGGTCAAAAAGTGAGTTTGAGAAGACAGAACTTTCACTGATGCAAAGTTGAGTAACCATTTAGCTACTGTGCTTTTTTAAGCACTGCTTGGAGTTAATGACATGTTGAAGAAGGACTAGATGGACAGACAGCTGATGCTAATGAGGGATTATCAGTCTCTGTGGTTGCCATTTCTGGTTAGTGTGTGAGTGCGTGGGTGGACAAAACCTACACTCAAACACATGGCTAAAGATTGACAGAGGGAGATATTCATTGATATTGAAGGATATTAGGATGGAGATACAATATTTGTTGTCGTCGTCAAGAAATCCCTTGAAAAGACTAAAATGACTTGATCCAACTAACAAGTATTGTGTGTGTAGTGAAAGCCTGAGAGAGCCATTACTGTGCAAAACACACATCAGTGAACCACACTGTTCCTTCATTACACACACACACACTGTAGTTTATTTCGAGCCTTGAAGACTAACCAAATGCGTATTAGTCCACAGCTCAAAATAGTCCCCGACACATACACTGCTTACTGCTGTTTACATCTTCAGTAGGAATGAATGAGTTTAGGGCTGAGTGTCTTAAACAGAAGTCAGGCTGGGATCCTTAAAGAGCCCCTCCAGACATGTGTTCAGACAAATGATGACGTTTTTTCCCACAAAAAAACTTTAATTTCCGCATTAAAATTAATTTGCTCCTTCTACCTCATTAAAAATTCCAGAATCTATAAATATGCAAATGCAGGACACAAGATGTCTCCTACTTTACTGTGAAGTCCATTCTCAGTGGAGGTGCACTGGTGGCTTCAGGTTTCTACTCTTTGTAGGAGTTGCATACTGGACCAGGACTGACTTCCAAACTATCTGTGATGTCACAAATCATGCTGGTAGGCCCCGCCCCTTAAAAATTTGATTTTCAATGAGCTCAGAGAAACTTTCCACTTTCAGCAGATGAATGTGAAAACATCCTTGTCCGTCCATGTCAAACTCTGCACATACATCATTCTGCACAGTGAAGCTCAAAAATCACACTGTAGGAAGAACAAGAAAATCTGATTTTTGAGTGGAGGGGGACTTGGACTTGTAATTCCCAGTTAAACTACTACTGGAACACCCAAATGAAGAGAAATTGTCATAACTTCATATCAGTAGTCATACCTGTGCTGTTCCTGCAATGACAAGTCAATATGTCTGCTGTTAAAAACGTATATATTTAACTGCTGTTTTGAATTTTATTACTATATTTCTGCACCTGCTGCTTTGGCAACAACTTTCAAACCAATTGTCTGTGGTTAAGAAAATTAAAATATACAAAGAGTGCAAGACATGAAAAGAGACAAAGAGAAAAAGACAATGAGAGAGGCATTCAAATAAACAGAGAGAGAGACTTGGAGGAGTAGAGGGATGGAGAGAAACAGAGGGAGGGCGGCTGAGTGGGAGTGAGGCACGCTGGGCAGGAAGCCAGGGGTAAGATTAGTGAACGTCACTATGGCGACACAGAAATCTCTTTCTCTCTCTCTCTCTCTCTCTCTCTCTCTCTCTCTCTCTCACACACACACACACACTTATCACACCTGAGAGAGAGAAATGTACTGTGTGATCTATTATCTTTTATCTTTCAATACTCAGTGTACAAAACATATAACATACAGTTCTTCTTACGTTACCCTCTGGTTTATTTATTCACTGCAGCCACGTCTGTTCCTCAGTGACGGGCGGTCCTCTGTCAAGACTTTTCAAATCATTTCTTAAATTAGGAGCTGTCAGTGCTAATAATTTGAGTCATGTCCAAAGAGCTAAAAAAGGTTTTTATATACAGGATGATATTAAATATTTTACCACTGGAAAGTCGGCACAAGGACTCACCGAATGTGTTAAATCTGGCTTACTACCATTCTTTGTTGGTTCTCTGCGATAATATTTATATCAGCCATAATAATAATAAAGGAACCATAGATATAGAAACATAGAAACCTCAGCGTTGTGGTTGTCTGCTAGAGGCTGTCATAATTTACTGTTTTATCCAGTTTTAAGATTTTTTTATGATACGCTTTTTAGATCTTTGTCATTTTATCAATACATTTTAACAAGATGAGGATTTTAATCATTAGACGTCTGGATCTTAAGTTATCAGAGAAACAACTGTTAGCAGCAGCTCGGCTCGCAGCCCCTCCGGGATGTCCTTTGTCTGCCAAACAGCGTTGGAGAAAAAATGCGTTATTCAGTGTTTTTTTTCCTGATAAAAACCTCATAAATGATGAACAGTGAAAATCTTAACCGGAAGACGCTGATTGCATTGACGCTAATGGTGGTGAAGACAACAACTCCAATGATCCCACGCTGCTTCACAGCGTCATCAAGCTTAATCTTTTGTTACTACTTTGATATGAGAGACCTCCTAGTGGCAGAAATTGCATATTGTACGTTGAAGCTGCTGGCACCAATTCTAAACAAAGTGAAGCATTCTTGTGTGTATATCTTTGTATCTTTAGAATCAAACTGGCATGCCTTCACTCCCTCATTCATTCATTCACTTAGTAGTTTAATCTATAGCGAGCAGTAAATTGTGATTTCTGACACCTATGAATCATCGGCATTCATCCTCACTGACAGCTGCAGAGTTGCACAACAGTCATTTTTGCCTCTGTAAAATGTGACGCATTGCATTGTGGGATTGTGGTTGTGAACAATTGACAATTTTGTTCTATTGTGAGAATTCTTGAGTGAGAGTTTTAATTCATATAGCATATCGCTGCTACATGACAAAACTTGCACAGTTTCTCTCTGTAAGATGAAAAGTTTCTTGTTTTACTAAAAAAAAATGTGTGTTATAACAAAATATTTTCCATGTTCTCATGACATATTTTATTGTTATTTTACTAAATTATTATATTTTTACAAGACACTTTTCTTGTTATGACATATCACTTTATCTTGTTAACGTTTTCTATATTTTATAACATATTCATGAGCAGATGATATTGAGGTTTAGTTTTGGCTTTTTGTGCAGCAATGGTTGCTACTTCTGTACAGAGGTGTGTGTGTGGAGGCAGAGTTGTAGCAAAAGACCGGTTACGGTGATTGTATAGAGAATTGTGACGAATATATCGGATCTTGACCACATACAACAGTGGCCCAAATCAGGATTGACAAGAACAGATTCCATGTATTTATGCTGTTGTACCTTTATTTAAAAAAACTGATCTGATTCAAATGTGAGCAAAAAAATAATCCAATTTGCAGCAGTTTCACTTGCAGTGTGAACGCAGCCTATGTGACATAATTGATTAATGATATAGCATGATTTATGTGTTAGGGTATAGCTGTGGGATTCTTTTATATTGTTCTGTGCACCTACGTGTAATTACTGTGTGTGTTGGTGTCAGATTAGACAGTGATTGTCAGCGACTGGGCTACATCTTGGTACTGCTCCGTGCAGTGTTGGCTATCAGACCGTGACAAGAACGTGACTTCAAAACTGGGTATAGGACAACCAGAGTTTGGACACAAGGAGAAAAAGATAGAGAGCGCAAGGGGGGGGGATGAACAGAGGGAGCGAGTGACATAGAGAAATAAAGACTGTGAGTGCGTCTCTGTCACGAGATAAAGGCTTTGTTGGGCTTTCCTCAACGGAGGTTTCAAGCCAAATATAACACCTGACCCATTTACTACTACCCTTGTCTTTGATGGCTGTCCCCACCAACCATCACACACACACACACACACACACACACACACACACACACACACACACACACACACACACACACACACACACACACAGTTCCACTCTGGAGGTCTTTTTGTCCTTCAAGTCAATCCCTCAGGTTCGCTAACCTGTGTGCTTATGCGCTGCTCTTCAGTATCTTGCTCGAAATCAAGCCTCTGCACCAAAAGGCAGTTCTTAAAGGTATATGTAAAGGTGGGGTCAGTGATTCTAATGCAATACACATTTTGTTCAAATCAGACAATATCTCCTCACAGTCCACTAACTATTCTGTGTGTGCTGCAAAAAAAAAGCGACATTCAGGTTAACATCTAGTTTGCCAAGATATGCTGTTGTTGTGATGTCTGAAGCTGTAGCAACAGTTTGATAACTTATTACCTAGTTAACTTTACCTAGCTATGAACTAGTTAACATTAGTTTTATGATAGTATTTGTCCGTACGATGTTTACGATGACAGTATGAAATAAGGAAGATGTGAGATGTACAGTTGGTTTTCTTTAGTCTGAACTATACTTTTTCATTTCTGTGTTTGGTTCTTTAAAGGTCCGGTGTGTAACATTTAGGAGGATCTACTAATATGTTTTCATAAGTGTATAACCATCTGAAAATAAGAATCAGTGTGTTTTCATTACTTTAAAATGAGCTGTTTTTATCTACAAAGGGAACAGGTCCTCTTCTAGGGAGTCTGCCACATTGAACTGCCTTGTTTCTGCAATAGCCCAGAAGGGATAAACCAAAAACTGTCTCTAGATATGCCCATTCGCGTTTCACGGCCACAGCAGTTTCTCACTTGTGCTTGGAAAGGGAGGGTGAAGTGAGGGAGTTGCAATCTCCAACTATACCGCCACACCATTAAATCCTACACAGTGGTCCTTTGAGGTATATTGGTATTTTTTGCAAAAAGTATTATTTTCACAAACAAAATAAGATACAGGAGGAAACGCTGCAGAGTTTGGATAAACTAATGAGAACTGCTGGTTATGAATGCAGCCAGATCTGAATGTTTGGGGGATATCAGCTCTGAGAAATATTAAGAGTTGCACATTTTTCATTCAGTTTTTCGGCTTTTTGTAAAACACAGGAAACATTTCTGCAACTCAGCTGCAGGAGAAAAACTGCGCCAGACTGTAGAAACACTGCACCAATCTACATAATGGAATACTGGCTGAATATTAGTTGAAGAATGAGCAGTAACTTTTACAATGGCTATAGTATTGTAGTTTTATGCTTTTGATGTGTGTCTGTGGGAATAGAGTAAGGGCAGGTTGCACTGTGCCTGTGTATTCACTAGATGGTGGTGTTGTCTTGCTAGTGAGCATGTTAAAGGTCTTTGGATGTACAGAATCTGTCCATATTTCTGTGGTCTGTGTGAGTGCCTCTGTGTGTGTGTGTGTGTGTGTGTGTGTGTGTGTGTGTGTGTATGTGTGTGTGTGTGTGTGTGTGTGTGTGTGTGTGTGTGTGTGTGTGTGTGTGTGTGTGTGTGTGTGTGTGTGAAATTCCTGAGCCTGCCCATGTGTGTATATGTGTGTATATGGGTGAAGGGGGTCACATACCTGAGGATGGAGATGCATCATTTGTCTTTGCAGAGATCAAACCATATTTAACCACTGACAGGCCAGTGAAGTGACTTTTCTTTTTGATGCAAGTAGGTCAGCTTCTCCCACTGGTTTTAAGTTCAGGGAAGCATACCATACACACTAAATTGGGTGGGCATGAGGGTGGAGTTAGGAAAGTCTGAAATGCTTTTTCATCCTTCCCCAATCCTGATTTTACCCCCATTTTATCACCAGACAATCCAGACTGTTATTTCATGTCTTCTTATGTACAGTAGTGATATTTTTTCATTTCAATACTAAAACAACACAAACTGTTCCCACATTAGTGCCTGGGATCACGTAAACTGGGGGCTCTCTGGGTATTTTAGCGTCAAATGAATGAGAACATTTGTTCCCAGCTAGCCTCTAGAGCTAACTAATTAACATGTTAGATCTGTTTTTTTTTTTTTTAAATATGTACAAAAACTGAAGTGTAAAAATCACTGAAATTAATGAAGTTGTGGATTTACGGGGAGTCATGTGCTAGACTAAACCACAACTTCCAGTTTTTACCTCTGAACAGAGGCCGGCTAGCTGTTTTCCCTTGCTTATAGTCTCTATGAAAGGAAGAGCTAACTGTCTCCTGGCTGTAGAATAGTTTCATATTTAGTGTGAAAGTATGAAAGTGCTATGGAACTTTCAGCGAGAAAGCAAATCATTTCTAAAATGTTGAACTACAGCATTTCTTTAAGTAGATACCAGGAAGTTTGTTAATGCAGCACAACGTTATCGAGTCATACAAGGTAATCATGACAAAGGTAAAACATTTTATTGACCTACTACTTTCATTTATTACATTTTTACTAAATTTGTCTGTTGGTTAATTTATGTCTTCTTATGTACATGAATATTTTCACAAAATGTTCCCATATAAGTGCCAGGGAAAATTATACATCACATTAACTGGGGGATGTCTGGGTATTTTAGCATCAATTGAATGAAGACGTTTGTTCCAAGCTGGTCTTTAAATTGTAGGATGCAGGCTGTAAAATGGGCTATTGTGCTCCTTTATGTCTCTCTGTTGAGATGTAGTAAGACTTCCTGTGGAGGCGGTGAAATACAGATGCTGCTGCTGCTTCAACTCTCCATTCAGCTTTTACAAACAGTTTGAAAGGAGGAAAGGGAACTTTGACAATGCTTTTCACATCAGGGCACTGGAGAGAGATTTGTTTTTTAATCAGTGTCAATATGAAACAGCCTTTTTCTTCCTTTCTTTTCTTTGGCGATGTCTCAGTGGGCGGCTCTGTGTTCTGTTCGCAGATTTCCCCACAAACGTTGATGAAGCATTGGACATTGTATGAATGACTGCCAACTTTTCCTCTCTCTCTCCCCCCCTTTCCTTCCTGTCAGGCTGCCATAGAGAAGTTGACCTGGAAAGACCGTCTTCCTGGATACTTCATCAACATTTCCTCTATCCTCTTTATGGTAAGTACATAAAAATCAGGTTAATGCTCTACTTGGAACATATATTTTCTCTGTATGTATGGATGAAAGCACTTTAAATAGAAAAACAAACATGCATACGACATAAGTAATGTACATAAATGAGTGTATGAGTGACGTCGATGTGTTCTTTTTTATTATTTATATTAATTCCGGCCTCTGCACAGTGAGTATCAGACAAATATGGTTGAGTAATGACTAATTTATCTTGTTTCTTATTTCTGTTTTGCTCCCAGTTTGGCTTGACGTTTTCAGCAGTTTTTGGCGTCATCATCTACCGCATCACAGTGTCGGCCCTGATGGCGATGAGCCCCGACCCGGAGACCAAATCCAACGTCCGGGTGACGGTGACGGCCACTGCGGTCATCATCAACCTAGTGGTCATTCTGATCCTCGATGAAATCTACGGCGCTGTGGCGTTGTGGCTGACTGAGCTAGGTACAGAAATACATACAGTCACTAACTCTTGTAGTACAGTGGCTTTGAGAAACAAATGCAATGCAACTTTTGAAAACATTAACACAAGCGAGAGAACGCAAGAAAATGAACCATATATCCAACTATGTTAAAACAAACCTTACTAGCTAGCCTCAGCAATTTCAGAGTCATGCAATCTGAATTATTAAAGGGATAGTTTGACATTTTTGGAGAACACTTGTTCACTTTCTTGCCGAGAGTTAGATGAGAAGATTGAAACCACTCTCATGTCTGTACATTAAATATGAAGCTAGAGCCAGATGTTAGCTCAACTTAGCACAAAGACTGGAAGCATGAGGAAGCAGTTAGCCTCGCTCTGTCTGAAGATAAAAACAATGTCCTGTTTTGACACTTCCTATGAGATAAAGAAACAACATATAATGTGTGCATTTCTTAAGCTTTAAGAGTTGCTGGTATATTACAGCGCACATTTCTTTCTACCTGAGCCAGGCTAGCCTTTCCCCCCTGCTCTCAGTCTTTGGGCTAAGCTAAGCTAACCGTCTCTTGGCTGTATCGCTATCTAAATAAGCGTATTCCCCAAAATGTCAAACCATTCTTTAAACATAAAAGTCACTGTGTAGCACAAAAATGCCATCAGTTAATATTTGAAGTCCAGGTCCAACTGACGATTTGTTTTCTAGACATAAGGCTGCAGCACTTTTGAAAGAATTAATAGGTTTGTTTTCATGTCCATATCTATTCATGACCCATTTATTAAAACACATTATTTAACAACACAACAAACTTTATGATATTTATGGCCACCAGCATCGAACAGCACAAAATATTGACCTCATATAAATGTGAATGGCATACATATAATTCCCCAGAAGCTATCCAACAATGAAATTAAAATATGTATACACGTAGCCGTAGTATAAACATAATGAATACATTTAGACAAACATAACCCAAGCCAAACAAAAGCGACATGTTTGCATCTGTTAATGTCAGTACACAGTATTCAGTTCATAAATAGTCTGTAATCCATATAAAATAAAGTATGAGGATTTCATCTTTCATTAGTAATTTTTCTCATCCTATTCCATGCTTTAGTAATATATTCAGTAAATGCAAAAACATTCTCAAATAAGCACTCAATTAACGCTTTATCCTAAATTCTAATCAAATCAAAATCGGGAACATGAAGTTTTTAATGTTTGTTGCAAATTGTATAAAATAAAGTAGAGAATAAAATGTATTAGATTTTTTTTTTCACCATTATAATTTTTCTCTCAATTTGGCGTTTCCCAGGTTTCTTCTGCCCATTTTTCTCTGCATTTAGCCCTGACATGGTATTTGAATTCTTCCACTCCAATATTCCTCAAATCCGCATTCCTGTAATAAATATTTTAGAGGTACAATTGCCTCCAATAGAAAAATGAGCACCTATACTTTAAATTAGTTTCATCTCCTTAAAATAAACAGCACTTTAGAAATGTGCTATACATACTTGCAGATACTTTGCAATACTTTTAGAAATTAAATTCGTCCAACTTCTAGATGAGTCTGCCTCTGCACCTTACTCGTTACTAATGGGAGACAGAGAGTCATTCAGTCAGTATCCGTGATGACATATTTCAGAAGTGTTCAGAGAAACATACTGCTTCAGCAACTCAACGGACAAAATCTTCATTTTTTACATGTATTCTTCTGCATCTGTAGAGTCAGAAGAGTCTTCCTGCCTCTTGCTGGACCATTTGATGAAATTTTGATGCTTTCATGCTCCAGTCATCCCATCAGTCATCCCAGGAGGTTTCAGCCAGATTTACATTCATATTCAAACCCTCTGAAATAGAGGAAAAGAATGGGAAGGAAAAGTGTGAGAAAGAGGGAAAGTGTGTGTGTGAGAAAGAGAGAGGGGGGGGGGCAGTATTTTAACCTACTTCCACCACAGTGATTATGTTATGACTCCAGAATCTCCACTTTTCTCAGAACAGTGAGTCTGAGTTCTCATGTAATCACCACCTCGAGACACACACTGTACAAAAACAGTGAGGAAAAACCCATTTATAAAATACGTTAGCCAAGCCTAATATACCATACATACCTTCCATTTGCCAAGTCTTTCTTACAGTTTCACTTGACCTGTTTTTCAGAGATTCCCAAAACAGAAACCGACTTTGAGGAGCGTCTCATCCTGAAAGCCTTCTTGCTCAAGTTTATGAACGCATACGCACCCATCTTCTACGTGGCTTTCTTCAAGGGACGGTGAGTCCTGCTCTCATGTGTGTGGGAGTGTGTTTGTGCATCACTGTCCTGTGAAAACCAACTCCAAAATGCCAATTTTTCATATGATAAGAAAACAGTGTTGTTTTCAGCTTCGTGACAAACGTTTTTCAGCTAACTCAATGGGTACATTTAGTTCAATAAGGAGAATAAAGATCATTCAGTTTATGTCAAAAATTCAATGTATCCAAATCTGGAGATACATGAAGGGTTCAGCTTTAAGTGAGATGCTGTCGGCTGACGTGCCTTTGAAAAACAAACCCCTTTATATCCAGCTAGTTTTCAAACCTGCAGCAAACTGCGCAAGACATAGTTGGAGTTTCGCCCACATCCTCTTAACATCACCTAAATTCCTGTTTTCAGGATAATTGAAATGCGCTTAAGCAAACTTTGTCTTTACCCGTTGCCATTTCCTTGCAAGCGCCCTGAGTGGCACTGAGTATGTGCAACTCTCAACAGAGATGAGAAAGAAGTGAGATGCCTCTCTCTTTAGCCACTTCCAACGTCATCATCTTAATAAAGGGTCATTTCTGCAGTGTGAATTCAGCCTCTCAGTCTTTATTGTGTTGTGTGTGTTTGTGTGTTCGCAGGTTTGCTGGTCGGCCTGGAAATTACGTTTATGTCTTTAATGATTACCGGATGGAAGAGGTTTGTCATTTGACTTTACATCTTGTGTTTCTATTCACTTGGCTGAATTAGTCAAACATAAAGTGATGATGACTGAAAGTGACCACATGAAGTGTGTGTCTCCCTCAGTGTGCGCCAGGGGGCTGCCTCATTGAGTTGTGCATTCAGCTCAGCATCATCATGCTGGGGAAGCAGCTGATCCAGAACAACATCTTTGAGATCGGCATCCCGTAAGTAGAATATATTCCTTTTTTCTGTAGTCATGGCGATAAGATCAAAGGTGGGACATTTTGTCAAAAGTCTAAAGAGCCAGTGACACCTAACACACAATCCTACACAAAAACATGCTTAGTCACAAGCACTTACAAGATTCCCTCTCCCCTTTCTTGTTCTAATAACATTCCTCCCATGTCTGTACAGTGGTACTTCTTTTGTAACAACTTTTACATGCAAACCCCAAAGGTCGGAGGTCAGCTCTGTTTATAACAACTGTCACACAACAGAGATGCCTTTTAGACTTCAGGCTGCACTGTTACCACTGCTGTAAGCACAGCTTGACCTCCTGACCCGTTGGGTGAGTCTCATCAAACACTCGGGTTTCTCCAGGACGCCCCGCAAGGGATCAGCGTGCCACAACGCATACGTTAGTCCATCTACATACCATCTACTCATGTACTTCACATTCATCCACTTAAAAGCTTTCACACCTGGGAGCTCGACCAGTAACACCACAGTTTTATACTGTAGGCTAGACAGCAGCTTTAGGGGTAGTCTCTGGGGCAGCTGAGTGAAGGCAGTACATTAGAGGTTTTCACAGGTTTCTGACCCTAAAAGCTCCTGTCAGTTCATAAATAGTCTGTAATCCATATAAAATAAAGTATGAGGATTTCATCTATCATTAGTAATTTTCCTCATCCTATTCCATGTTGTATAAGAGATGGACCTGTGCATTGAAAAAACCCAGTAGATGCCAAAGTTTGCTGCTCATATATATATATATATATATTACCTTTAAAACAAAGTTGATAAAATTACCCAGTTAAATTCTGTATGAGTTGAGAGAGATTTTTCTTTTGGAGCAGTAGTATTGTTTTCATTTATCATAGTGATGCATAAGAAAGAGCCTGCAGAGATTTTAATGTTGTAAACTTCAGTGAGAGCTGGCTATCTCCCAAATAACACACCCTAGGAGCTCCCCAGGGGCTGCATCCTTCGTGCTAAGCAAACGACAGAGGTGTCTCCTTCAGAGGACTGGAGACCGGTGGGCTGAATGTTTACATCCTCCCAAGTAAGATTCAGGTCTATGGAGACCTCACAGCAGCGTCATTCTGGGCTCCCAAACAAGTGACACGGTGCACAACAGTTGTGGCCTGTTGAATTATAAATGAAGGTTGTGTTTTTGCTGCATCTGGAGGAGCCTTCAGGACTAGACAGTCTTGTTGAGTCATTATGACGTGTTGAGGTTTGAAATGTGGAATTCAAAGCACATGCAGCCCCTGAATTGGGACATGGTTTGTGTGTGTACAAGGAATTGTATGTGAGACACAGGATTTCAAACTGTGAGACAGGAGGGCAAGACATGAGGTGAAGAGACTGCGTGATGACAGGTGCATGCCGGTGTTATAAAAACAAAAAATATGAAGTTAGTTAGGGCTGGGTCCTTTCTGCAGAAGCCATGGGTTCAGCTCCGACCTATGGCCCTTTCTCTCTGCCTCCTGTCTATCCTGAGCTGTCACTATTGGCAATAAAAGACCCCCCAAAAATATTCTAATAATCAGAAATCATTCTGCACAGTGAGGATCAAACATTTAACTGTAGGAACAAGAAGAAAAACATATTTATGAGTGAAACAAAGCCAATTTTATTTTATTTTTTTTTACATATTTTAAAATGATTTAAACCCATTTTAAATTTTGATTTAGACATTTGTGAGTTGAACTTTCATTTTTGACCACTAGAGGGCAGAAAAATACTAAAACAGATTCACAAAAACTGTCCGGTAATGCTGTCCAAATTCTAGTAGTTGATTGTCCTTTAAAAACACCAACATCCTTTAAGTCTTTAACTTATCAGATGTTTAATTTTCCACTTGGCTAAAAGCTGCATAGAGCTGCAGAATTAGTTTATAACTGTCTGTACAAGTGACCCCTTTCACATTCACATCAAAATATCATTCTTATTAATAATCTGATGTTTTTCATGTTAACTGGCACACACCCAGCTGAATGTTTGGTTACATTTTTGACCTATGCTTTGCATTTTTCACAAGATATATAACCAGTTATGATATAACCTGACAGTAAAACAACATTATTGCTACCAAAGGAGAGAAAAAGAACAGGGGGGTTTTTATGTAGAGAGATACATTAAACATTCAGAAGGAGAGCGAGAGAGTCCTGACCTACATCAGAAACCTCTAATCTCCCCTCAGTAACATGAACCTGTGTGTATGTACTCAAATACACTAAATTGTGTGTGTATGAGTGTGTCTTTATCTACTGTATGTGTGTAAAGTGCCGTAAACATTTATGTGTTCTCTGCCTCCTTAAATGTGCCATACCATCTTGTGTGTGTGTGTGTGTGTGTGTGTGTGTGTGTGTGTGTGTGTGTGTGTGTGTGTGTGTGTGTGTGTGTGTGATAATAACCACATAAATAATGCAGTCAAGCATTTAGCTGCTTTTATTAGTTTTTTTACAAGCAGTGCACACAGTCACATGCCCTACCACATGCATACACAGCACAAATAAAGTATGTTTTATCATATTACACATATGCTTTATCTGCACACTCACTTACTGTGAGTGGAAATTATGTCATGTACTTAGATAATTACACACAATAACTCTCTGCCCCCCCACTGTTTTTCCCAGAAGCAGTTTGTCAGCATCACACAGCTTCACTTTTCACTCTAATGCCAATCTGCGGCTTACTTTCTTCTAAGGCGTCCACGTTTCTTTGAAAACAGTCAGCTTCTGGCTGTTCGTGCGGTTGGTTCGCAATGAAATGTTTAGCATTACTTTACCTGTGTAAATACTTGCTTGTCTATTATGTTTCACAAGCGGAGACCGTTTCAACATCTTTTGTTCCAGGGAAGGTTTACTGAGTACACATCTCATGCAGCAGCACCACCCTGCTTCACATTTACAGATGAAAAAACATTCAGGTTCAGTACCTTGTAAAATAAATACTGTGTTTGTTTGGGAGACACATTTCTTTTTCATTGGATTAGAATTGGAATTAGGATTTGAAATGTCAGCTGCAGTAAAGTGCCAAGTGCAGCATCTCTGTACCACCATGCCAGAGGTGTATAAGTAAGAATTAGTAAGAATCAGTGAGTGGCTGAAATCAGTCACTTTGGCAGGTGATCCAGTGTTTATTTTTACATTAAACTTTTTCCACCTTCTCCCCCGACCCTGACAGGAAGTTGAAGAAGTTGGTGCGTGCGATAAAAGATAAAGGATCAGCAGAGAAGAAGAGTGAGCAGGAGAGGCCTCCACAGCAGTGGAACCTGGACTACGCCCTGGCTCCCTTTGAAGGCCTCACACCTGAGTACATGGAGATGAGTGAGTCTGCGCACACACACACACACACACACACACACACACACACACACACACACACACACACACACAGAAAAATAGCCTCAGGGAAAAGAGCAGCCATTTAGGCACCAACGTACTCAGTGATGTGAGTACTCACATCACTGAGAGGTGTTATGTAAAATGTATCTGCGTGCCCCAACATGACCTTTCCAGGTAAATGTGCACACCTTGACTGAAGAGCATATGGATGTAGGATGTATTTGCTTATTGTTCATAAAGACCGTCCCTTATGAGCAGCATTTGTCAGTTGTTAAAACAACCTAGGTTTATGTTGACATGACCAGGACCAGAGACGTGAATTATGGCTCTTGACACAGGAAACTGTTTCCCGTCTTCCATCGACACTCATCGTTGTTTTCTTTAAGCCACAGCTGCAACATTACAGTTATTATAACCTTAAACATGTAGTGCATGTGCCAAAACCTAATCAAACCTTAACCCTGCCAACAAAGGGTCATGAAAATTATTTCTGGAATGGTCATTTGTAAGGCACTCGCACTGTTTTGTCATTTAGTTTTGACGGCTTGTTGCATTCAGCCACATACAGCACATGCTGTATACGCAGTCATTTACATTCATGTCCATCACAAGCCAAAGCACATAAACAGTGGAGATGCAGTCACAGATTAAAAGTTTCCTCCCTCGTGCATAATCAGTCTCAGCTGTTACGTTAAATCAACATGTTTGATATTGAAGCTTAAAAGGACAGCTTGTTATTAATTAGCAAATGACATATTATTTTGGTCGCGGCCCTTGTACTGCCTGTCAGAAAGGCTTCTGGCCCAGCAGAATAAAGTAAGTAAAATTAGCTGCAGCCTTTACCAGCTGGAACACCAAAGTGAGTTATTCTGAAATGGGCCATTCTGCATGTTGAATACTTTCACTTTTGGTACTTCAGTATATTTTGATGCCAATACTTTTGTACTTTTACTTGACTTTGAGTGTAGGAAAAGTGTGTTTCTACAGTGTGGTATTGCAGCCTTCACCTCAGTACAATTCAGTCATTTAAGGTTGTACGACATACTTATGTATTTACCAAATTGTAAGACGACGTAAAACTTTTCACACATTTACTGCATTTGGTCCAGCTGGAGATGAAAACATGGAAAAACCTGTAAATCTTTACATCACTTTTACTTAAGTCCATTCAGACCCTCTGCGGAAAGCTGGCAGTGTAAGGGCTTGGAACTACCAGTCTGTCTTTACGGTTGTACCATAAAAACATGGTGGAAGAAAAAACCCTGTAAATCGGATAATATCCAGAGGCTCATTAAATTTCATCCTGACAAAGACTGGCAGGCAGAGAAAACCCAGAGACAGCATGAGATGTGAGGGAAAATGAAAGATAGGGAAGTTAAACTAAGATAACTAAGATTTTTCTTTTCTAACTTATCTCACATTCTTCTGTAAAGAGTGTCTCCAAAATGCCATCGTTAAGGTCATTCATAGGTTAAACTGATGAAAGGAGGGACAGTTATGTGCCTTTAAAGCTGACTGATTGACTGCCTGTGACTGTGTTACTAGCTGATAAAGAGCTACAGGTGTTTGGTTGTTATGTCTGATGGTATAACACACACACACACACACACACACACACACACACACACACACACACACACACACACACACACACACAGCTGTAGGCATGCCTCCTGTACGATTACAACCAACACCTGCTCAGTCATAACTTTTCCTGGGAAACAAATAAAGCCTTAAGGGTTGATGAAGAGCTAGACTAAACTGAAACATTGAATTTTTATTTGCTTGAATCAACACTGCAGCTTAACATGTAGCTGTTAACACTGAAATAGAAGTGTTTTGGTTAAAGCTTTAATCTGTAGACTTGTCATATAAATATCTGTTTTTGCTACGTTCTATCACAGACTGTCGATGATGAAGTTGTTAAAGATCCCCTCCAGACATATCAAAATACTCTTCTTGGAATATTAATTTAAAAAACATCTTAGAGTCAAACTCTACATAGTGAAGGTCAAACATTCATGGGAAGTAACAATAAGCAAAATCAATTTTTCAGTAGAGAAGGACTTAAAATTCTGTCCCAGTCTTTCCCATGAAATTTATTCTATTGAGTTTATGTTTAAAGAAGCAAGAACAACAGCTGGGATTAAATACAAGACAGTAAGAAACATAAAAACCCACAGTCTGCACTGAGTGTTTGGAGTTAGTTCCTGCAACGGATGTGAAAAAGCAATGACACCTTACTGAAAATCTCTACGCTCTGGTACAGTTTTAACCTTGCCCTCTAGCCGCTTTTCTCAAGCAGTAAGTAGAGCCACACTGATGCCCAAAACAGGAAAAAATCGAGACATGAAACAAAGCTGTTTAGTCAAAGTGATTCCACAACAATAACACTAAGTCAATGACAAAAATCCTCCAGCTATTTGTAAAAGTCAGGGGTAAAAAGAGCTGGCTACATTGCCCTGACATAACATGACATAACATCTGAGAGGGGTGACACATATGAACTAAGAATTAAGAGGATTCAGCTTTTTAGCTGACATGTTTGATGGAGATGTAGCTCATCACCATCCATGATCTCCATAATCTGCTTTTTAGACAGGGCCTGAGGAATATTCATGGGGTGGCAAGGAGACTTTAAGGAGTGGCAGAAATGTATGCTAAATTAACTGCAAATCCTAAAAATGATATATTGATTTGCATTTTCAACACGTTATTTTTTAAATTAATCATAATGTGTTAAATTGAACAGTCCCTGAAACTGGGTTGGCAGCTGCCAGATGCAACTACAATAGTCAGGACACTGATGATATGTAATGAAGGAGGTGTAAAGGTTCCTGGCATTCATGCCTGACCTCCAAACAGTGAAGGTAGTGACACATTGACTGAAATGTCCATAAACCAACTGCCAACAATCCTCTGTGATGATTTATTGGTTGATTGACTGGTTGATAAACTCATTTTATTTATTAACTGAATGTGAAAATATCTGCTTTAAGGCTCCACTGAATACATGCATTGATGATAAATTATTCTGTACATAAAAGCAAAAATGTCATTAAGAGAGATGCATACAGCAGATGAATATATAGATGATTTTCCACTAATATGGCCACACAGCTTGATATTGCTGAGCATTTCCTTCAGGTTGATGCAGTCAAAGTGCAGCAGCAGTTCAGCAAACATCCAGCAACAAGCTTGACTTTAGAAACTGGCAACATCTAAAGGAGAAACAGTAAATAGTAAGCAAAGCATTATTGGCAAAATGTGCTGCGTTCTGTGTGGGAAATGTTCTTGTAAATGTGGGGTCCAAAACACACTTAGAGTCCTCTAGAAGATGGACCAGGCGTAGCGTATTAGAAGTATCTCTACTAAAGGGACAGACACAAGAGCTGCAACCACTCACAACTGGAAGCATCGGCAGATGTTCTGACGTTTCATATTTAGAATAATGACATTTCATTTACGTGTATCATTAAAGCGGCTGTGTGGTTTGGTAGAATCAAGGGTTCAGAGCAGTCTTGAGGACAAAAAGTTTAGTTTCGCCTTTTGATCGGGACGTGATATGATATGTATGGAGATTTCATGCGATACGGAGTGAGGACAGAGGGAGCTGGGAGGAGGGAGAGAAAAACAGGAGACTGAGCGGATGTCGCTGCAGGGCACAGGAAGGAATGTCAGAAATGTCTGAGCTCTACATGCAAACACACACTCGCACACAGCTGTTGAATGGGTCGTCCTGGGTTTGTGTTAGCTCATTATGTATTTCAGTGTGATGTATTTGTGCAACCTGGTGTTCACGTTGAGGTGTGTGTCTCCTTTGTGTGTGTGCCCGGGCCAGCTTCGAACCCGTCAACCTCGGCTCAGGTAGATGGCGAGGTTATTCTAAGCTTGCCCTCTAGCGCTCGCCGCTCCGCTGTCGTATTTTCTTCCTCTGCGCTCTTTGTCTCAGTGTGGCGTCCCGAGGTGAAGCCGCCAGTCTCCAGCTCGCTGGAAATCCCCGTTCCCACACTGCTAAAGTTCCACCGATCTGATCAGAGCCGTACATCAGCCAAAGTCAGGCAAACCGCCTTGTCATTCTCATGTTTCCTTTCCCCATTCTTAGGAAGCAGGTGGATGTTGTTTTGATCCTTTATTGGGCAATAATGGAATAAAGCTCTACTTCAAACCCATACCCGTGCTTCGCCAGCGTTCATTTATTTATTTATAGCCATGAATCTGATAAACTTGCAGTTACTGTAACATTTATTTTTGCCAGACCTACTGATCTACCGGGCCGACGAGCAAAGAGGAAAATGTTCTTAATATTAAACCTTGATGTTATGTTAGACTTTTGTGTCATATCTTTTGAGTTCACAAATGGAAGTTAGTGGTCAAACTTCAAGCCCAGCTCTGTTATCTAATCATTTTCAGTCAAGGGAACTAGAAAACAAGGCCAGCCTGGTGGGAAGAGTATGCAAACAGTGTATCCAAATATCTGCCTGTCTGGAGTGTCCTCAGACTGCCTTACTGCAGCTGACCTCTGACCTTCCTGTTGCCGAAGGAAAGGTGGTGGCACAAGACCTGTCCAAGCCTGGACACGTCTTTTAAGTCACCACTCGGGGGCCTCTGGTTATTGAACTGCTATTTAAGTTGACAGTACTGAGTGAGGCAACACAGTATCCAGTGTTTGTGTGTGATTGTGATGTGCTGTACCATAAATTCCCATCGACTGTAGTTTGAATTATTAGTCATTGTTATGTCTCAGGGTTATCCAGCCAGACTGACTTATATAACACACACACACACACACACACACACACACACACACACACACACACACAACACACACACACACACACACAAACATACAGCATAGATAAACACACATAGTTCCACACACTGCTTAATCATAAAAAAGTCCCATTTTAGCTGGTGCAGTAGAGTGTTTAACCTTAAAAGGCATCATCTCAACCACAGAGCGAGTCTGGACAGACTGTATGACTCCTGACCAGACAAATGACCATTCACAAATGTCAATCTGATGGCGTCTTAGTGGCAGTTTGAAATGTGTGCTTCAGATGATGTAGGTTTAATTCCTTTCTTACATCAACCTCTCTAATGCTGTCAAATAATGTTGTGGTTCTTTTTACAGCAACTTCAACAAAGTAGAGCATGTGCATTGTGCAAATATGTTTACCAAGAGAAACCTGACGCCTTGTACTGAAGCAGGAAGTTAGTTTGTATCCTTTCTCACTGGTCATTCTGACTTCCCATAGCATAGCACCATGCAACTCAACATTCTCAAATCCTGCACATACAGATGCAGCCACATAGAATTGCCGGCTGGTTCATGACAGACCCTTGCTTATCTGAATGGAATGAATAGATATATCCGGTTGGCAGCCAGCAGGGAGTGGCAATTCTGAGTGGCTTGTTCTTTGAGGTCTTTTAATGCAATTATACTTTCTCTGACTGTGAGCATAACCACATTACATTCATATGGGCTTCACCTTATATTGCTGAAGCCATCATGGTTGTCTTGTTAATGTAGATGTAAATGTAGCCATTGTTAATGACTGTACTTCAGTCAGGCCGGCTTTTGTCAAAAGAAACTTATCACAAATGCAGAATGTTATATTTGGCAGTTTGGCTCTGTTCTGGGACCTCCCTGCCCTTCCATGTGCATACATGGAAAAGCTTAAGACAAGGAGAGCGACTGCTTTGAGATAAAGATGGGCAAAGAATAAAGTGATAACCAACCACTGTCTGTGAACTCTGCTGCAAGGCAATAATCGAGATAGAATATTTCACAATGGCAGTGGCATTTTACATGTTATGACAACCATGGAACTAATATAATGTAAGCTTGAACCTCACAAGTATATGATTTAGGTGTTGTTTAGTCTACTATGCCCTGCAGTAAAAACATGTGACTTGGCTTATCAGTGTCCTTAAGATATTGTGTCCTTATAAATTGTGTGAATATAAGTAATGGGATTTCCATGAATGATGTAGCTGAAGGCTATGGGACCACACTCATTTTTGAATCAGACATATGTGTCTTTGTTGTTGGTATCATGTGTATATGTTGTTTTACCTCATATTCTCGTGCCAGTGTTGGTATGTGTACTTGGGGAATGGAGGAACTGGGCTTATGGGAAATATGGCTTTCATTTCCAGACACTCAAATGCAGATACCCTGTCTGCACTATGGTCTTATTCGTTGAATTATACAATTATAATCCATATTTATGACAGACCTATTGTACTTATTCATTTGGACCAATTAACAAGAAATGTTAAACAAAACTGATGGTCAACAACACTAACATGTTTGATGACTGTTCATCTCTTTTCTCCAGTCATCCAGTTTGGTTTCGTCTCTCTGTTCGTGGCTTCATTCCCGCTTGCTCCTCTCTTTGCTCTGCTCAACAACGTCATCGAGATCAGACTGGATGCCAAGAAGTTTGTTACAGAGCTACGCAGGCCAGTCGCCGTACGTGCTAAAGACATCGGTAAGCTGATGTGACACTGAAAAATGGAAATGCAGACACACAGAGCATAACTTGAATCATATCATATATCATATCATATAAATTGGTGATGTAATACATCTTTAAACCATCATTTATATGCCAAAAACACTTGAAATATTAAATATTTCCTCCATAATTTCCTTCATGTCAGAGTGGAAACTCTTGTGAGGCAGCATTTCATACCCCATGGGACACCAAAACTGAAACAAGACTGATTCAATTCAGGGTTAGCGGTGCCTTCAGGCAGTGAGGCAGGTTTCACTGCTGAGTTTAAAAACTGACACCCCTCCACCCCTACACTTCAGTATAGTCATGTTGTTGCTGTCGGCTGAAAGCTCATATCACTTCAGTGTTATCTTTTCAGCAGAAACTCAGTTTCATTTCAACTTGACCTCTTTGCACTTTTGGTCATACCGTAAGTCATTTGAAGGATAACCTGTTCCTTTGGGTTTAAATACATTTTCATCTAGGAAATGTCAAAAATAGCAATGTCTGTTGGTCTGTCACTCTGTTGGCCCATCCAACATCCATCCATGGTCCCCAGGGGATAAATCCTAATGACTCTGGTGAGCCTCTGACCTTTCCTCTAGTATCTGATCTGGTGATACCATGAGGTTCACATTTGGTCTTTTAAGTCAAATGTCTCAGCAACTGTTTGATGGATTGCCATGTAATTTAAAACAGACATTTATATCTCCCTCAGGATGAATTGTAATAATTTTTAACAATCACTGTGATGTCTCATCTAGTACCATCATTAGGCCAGCATTTCAGTCTGTCCAATACTTCTTTCTTCTTTGGTTTCTCACCTGCAAATCTAATGAAATACCACGTGTCTAGTGCTAAGTAGAAAAATAAACAAAAATGATAAACATGCTGATGTTGTTGTTGATGTACTTGAATTTCCCTCGGGATAAATAAAGTATCTATCTATGTTAGCATTTAGTCTCACTGAACTGCTTTCCTGAACATTCTTCAGCATTTTCTGACATTTTATGGACCAAAAATAATGAATTGAGAAAATTATCAACATATTAATTTATAATGAAAACAAGCAATTGCAGCCATAAAAAATACAGATAAAACATGCAGTTTATGATACTGAGTTCTTTATGAAGAGTTCTAAATTGAATTTTTGAACACTACCTATCAGAACCCAGTTCCAATTTTGGCACTGTGCTTAATACAGATGTTCCTCTTTCTGTCTGTTCTTGTTTCCTAACCCTTATCACTTGAACTGCTCTCTTTCTTGCTCTTCTTTCTATAGGTATATGGTACAACATACTGAGTGGAATGGGAAAATTTTCAGTCATTATAAATGTAAGTATTAATGCAGCGCTTCTTATTATTTGCATTGAGTTCGCGATGAAGGCAGATATATGCACAATAAATGCATGAAGACCCCTACATAATGTGGCTGATTTAAGGTCCCACAGAATACACTTTAACATTTCAATAAGTGAGCACTAATTTAATTTTGAGTCATTAGTGTAAACATATAGGACAGATTTGGGGTGAAATCAACTGGATTATTTTACAGCACAGTTGAGGAGTCCTCCGCCTGTGGAAACACTTGTATAATGTATTCTGTGGCTCTAGAAGGAGCATTGTCATTTCTGATGATGCCACTCAGTATAACTTTTGTTACTGTATGTATTCATTATTCCTATTCTTGTGAGTTATTACATTGTCAGTTAGTATTACTTGACTAGTTAAAATGTCCCTGAAAAATCCTGTAAATGACGAATCTAACAGTTAAATGTTTTTGTCATTACATGGAAATTTATGAAATGAAAAGCTTTCAGTTCACATTTGACTTACTTACTTGAATTACTTAGAATAACAAAGAGGTACATTTCAAAGATATTATATCATGTTGAAGTCCCAATATTCAGCTTTAATCTAAACAAGTTCAGTCCATTAACCTCATAATGGACAGGAACGGATGCCGAATGTTAACAAAGATACAGCAGTGCTTTGCCACTGACCTCAAACTCTGGAAACATTTCGACACGAAATACGACTTTCATCAGGTCTGGTGGGTGCGTGTGTGTTCCTTGCAAATATTTACAATTATCCATCACAATGATAACAGTTAATATTGAATGGAGATCTAAGGTCTCCATTTGCTCTAAGATGTCATGTGGAGATCCCAGAATCATGTCTGAAACACCTTAACAATGCCAATCTGTGGAGGTCACGGTGTGTGTGTGTGTGTGTGTGTGTGTGTGTGTGGTGTGTGTGTGTGTGTGTGTGTCCGCTTGCGGAATCAGGCAAGTTCTGCTTGAGATTTGTTCTGGCCAGCTAACTAAATCCTATTCCGTTTACTTTTAATACTAAACAGATTTGTGGAGGATTCAGAAAAACAAGCAGCAGGAGTTTTTATTTATTCTAGAGCTATGGGGCATTGGACACACATACACATGCTTAAGCTTCCCCAGGAGCGTCGAGGCTGTGGAAAACTGGAAGCAGAGTTCCCCTTTTTGTGCATGTTTCTTGCATCTATCCATTCTACAGACTACAAAATGCATTACTCGGGTATCTCTAAAATGTAGTTTACGGGAACAGTGCTTTTAAACAAATGAAAGTAAATAGTTTGACTGCTTTCACTGAAAAGTTTAACAGTTTGTCTCATTGTGTATTTTCTTCTGATCAATGCTCATGATAGAAAACTGTTCTCACACTGTCTGTCTCTTTCTCCCTGGAGGCCTTTGTGATCTCCTTCACATCAGACTTCATCCCTCGGCTTGTCTACCAGTACATGTTCAGCCAGACGGGCACCATGCATGGCTTCATTGACCACACGCTATCCTACTTCAACGTGTCTAATTTTAAACCTGGCACGGCACCGCAGAACTCGGAGCACGGAGACATCATCGTCTGCCGGTAAAAAGACACACACACACACACACACACACACACACACGCATGAACTTAAAGATGTTGGAAGTAATACAGTTATATTTGCCTTTATATTTCCTTTGTGACAGGCATTGTTAAATACAAAGGACAAATCAAGTAGTCTTAAAAAAACAATATTATTTAATTCACCTGGTCAATGAACATATTTATGCACTTATACACTCCTGGCCTTTTCTTGTTTTCTGATATATTTTTCCTTTTACTGCCAGTGGAAAACAGTCATGTCAATTCATCTATTTTTATATCACAGGAATTCAGTTTTGCCTAATTGGATTTTGTCTAAGTGGATAAAACAGCATTACTCTGTCTTGTCATAGCTTATAACTTTGACCTTCTCTTCAGTCTCTGCATTAACAACGAATAACTACCAATTATATGCTTATTTCAAGGCTAGTGACCATTTAATTTGACAGAAGGGTGTCTCTGTTTCTGCTTCTGTGGTTCATGTCCATCTCCAACTCAATTTTATTTCTTTCAAACCTTTATTCCTATCAAGAAACCATATCTTACTATCCATTTTTTATTGGACTTTTGCACAGATTATGTTAATTGATCTTACTAACTTTTGGTTTGCAGTGCTTTTGTTGCACTTGCACTGGTGTGTTGAGCGTGGTTGTGTCGGCTCTCTACCGCTTGAGGAGGCAGACAGCAGAGAGAGTTGATGATGGCTGCACATTGCTTGACAGCTTGGTGTGTAAAAACAGCTGTGTGACAGGCGACATAAAAAACAAATGATCGGATGGGGTCAATAAAGGTCTATATAGCCGATACCAATCAGTTTAAAAATGCCTCGATATGCTCCAATACCGATCATTGAGATCAGATCCATACACCCCTATCACAGCCCTTCATTGTTCTATGTTTGCTGTCACCACAAACTCTGAAAGCTTTTGCATTTAAAGCAGTCTTTCTGGTTGGTTCCATAAAGCGATCCAGGAGCAATACATTCTGTTTTTGTTATAGCAGAGTAAGTAATAAATCAGCCTAGGTTGCAGAATTAAAGGTCCAAAGTGTAACATTTAGGAGTATCTAGTAGCAGAAGTGCAATACAGTATTCCTACGTGTGTTTTGTTGTAGTGTATAATCCAAATCAAGATAAAAAATAAGAATCATTGTGTTTTTGTTACCTTAGAATGAGCCATTTTTATCTACAGAGGGAGTGGCCCCTCTTCTACTATGTAACTGCCATGTTTCTACAGTAGACCAACTGAAAACTGGCTTTAGATAGGGCCATCACACTGTTAAAGGCATAGCTGGCTTTGTGTCCAAAACACTCAATTAAAGTGAGTGTAGTTGGAGCATTTGATATATCATCTGGATAAAGCAACATATAGTGTTCTATATTAAACATGTATACACAGTAGCACTGATGCATTATATGAGCGATGGCCAATTGCTTGAGTTTCCAAAGATGTGGAATAGTGGATTTTTGAAGCTTTGAGTTTGGCATATGGCGGTCGCCATGTTGTTTTTTTGCAACCAGCAACCGTGACGTACTGCGAGTTGGGCTGCGCCACATTGGCTGTACTTGGTCCGTAGCAGGAATCAATGGCAGCAGTCCACTGTATAATCAAAAAGGACATAGTTTGGAAGGAAATCAGAGTGTTGGGAGTTACAAGAAGGTTATGTTTCCAAATACATAAAAACAAGGTTAACATAAGGTTGTTGCAGCAACGTCGCTCATAGTATACATCCGCTATAGTGCTCGCTCGCTGTATGTTAAGATGAGGTGTCTACAACAAGAACAAATGTGACAGAGATTGTCACAACACCAGTGAAGCTCAGTGGTATTAGCCCCCTAAAGACAGTGCACTATTGTATCTTCTATGCATTTTCTTTCATACCAGTGGCAAGCATCTGTTTCATAATATCAATATAAAGCGCTGTAGAAGAAAAGGTCATGGATGCCAGCGCCCACAGAGGCCAACCTGCTGTTACATAAGACAGTAAAGAATTACAGGGCAAGAATACAGTCTTTGTGTCAATGTAGTGTGGTACGTCACGTCTCAGACACGACCAGATACTGTAGGCCTTGAATGCTTATAGGCATGGAAGATGTTCTAAGAAGGGCATGTGTGTGTGTCTGCAGTGTGTGTAGTGCCGTATAGTGTACAGACTGGAGGCAGTGTGTTAGCCACTTATGTTGTGGTTAACGCCTCCAGGCTCAAGGCAAATGATTCAACTACAGCATGTAATTCAAAGTATGTCTGATGCTTCAGACAGTTCATTCCTTTCTTTTTCTTTCTTTAAGACCCAGTTAATTTGGGGACTGTAGTTGTATGGATGAATATATCAATGAATCAAGGGATCAAGGACATTTATTTATTAACACAAGGTTGAATGAAGAAATTAAAGTTTGCAGTGCATACATAGTAAAATATGATTCAATTAATTGAATAACAGAAAATAAATTCTGAGCACCAAGTCCGCCTCCTCTCGTTCTACACTCTGCCGGCTCGGGAAGTAGTCCGCCTGTCGAGTGCTTGGTCCAGAATGTTGATGGAGCAGGTCTCTGTAAAGATGTGGGCACAGTCTCTGATATTCCATTGTCTGGGTCCCATTCCATCCAGACCGGACCGGCCAGAAGCAGCATTAAGTCCAACGTGGGCCAGCATGGGCCTCCAATCCAGCTCTCTTCCTTCTCTTCCAGGAGTGAAAGCACTCACTGTGTTGGGCTGGTCAAGCTGATCTGGCTGGGTGGGTGTATCATCTCAAAGTCTGCTGCTCTTTAATCTAAATCCCACGCTTCCTTTTCTGATGGCTATGGGTTAGTTTAGGAATAGGTAATATGTATTTCAGCAATAAAGCTGAAAACAGAATGTGAGGATCCGCTCAATTTGAACAATTTTGTCTTTGCCTTTAAAAATCAAACCCAATCAAACATCATTTGATGTTTTCAGCAATAAAGCTGAAACAAAAACATATTAAAACAAAAATGTAGCAAGTGAACGAGCTACCGGCTGCTGCATATACATGCACAGCTGTTGTCATGGAGACTTGCAGGAGAGAGGAAAAGATGTCAAGAATGGATAAATGGATGGATAATGGAGTCAAACTGAGGAAGGAGAAATTAAAGATATCATTGAAGAGAAGAGAAGACAGAGTCGGGGATAGGGCAGCATGGAAATATGCAGAAATAAGACAGAGGGAAGGAAGGGGAGAAGCACTGTAGGATGGAGGGATGAATAGATGGATGGTGTGATAGAGGCCAACCACTACGGTATTAAATCTTTAATTACATTTAAAAACAGCAATGTGAGGAACTTGAAGACAGTTTCTGCATCAGTGGGCAGAGCATCACTGTACATCTCTGCAGTCATGTTTTCTCTACTGTATTCCCAGAGCTAAATGAGTGCTAAATAAAAATGAGGCTAAAGTTGTATTGAATTCTGCCAATAGTTGTCAATGTTAGGAAAACTTTTTTGCAGACTATTTTCAGAGAAGAATGAGCTTTTACTCTTGGAAGGTCTAATGCAAATACACCATAAATCAGTTTACACTTGGTTTATATCAGCCAGAAAGAGAGGTTAACTATTTCTTTGGGAAAATTGGATGTTGCAGTAGCAACTAAAGGATTTCTATGAAATGTTCTTATACAGGGTACTTAGATTTTCCACACATCACTTGTATACAACAGGTTTGTGATAATCTTTTTGCTCATAAGTTGTTATACAACATTAAACTCTAATTGGCCAGAAACATATTCTCATAAAATCTTTTGCTTCAAAGGTGAATCAGGTCCAAGTTCCTGCCAAGTTACTGTTAAGCTGAATATTAAATCTCTACGAGCCTCTCTTGTCATTTGGCTGACCTCGGACCTCCATGTGGAGGGGGCAAGAGAAAAGGGAATTTCCCTACAGGGATGCACTTTTTCTCCTCATTCCCGACATGTACTGACGTCAGTTAGCTTTAAATCAATTATATTTAGTCAGAAAACTTTACAGCCATATACAGAAAACAAAGAACACATAGACAACATCAACAGATAGATTAAGGATAATAAAGACAAGAGACAGGACGAGTTAACCACAAACTCTTGTGATTAGAATGTTGTTGCAAATCATTATCTCTTCCTGGACAAGATTTTGAAAAGTCTTTTGACTTATAGCCTTCTACCTGCTTCATGTCAAGACAGCACTTGTTCCCTTAACTGACAGGAAGTCGTCTGTGGAAGTTAAGTGAGGGCCAAGGAGTTTTATTATGTAATTTCTGATACGATGTTTCCTTTTAGTACATCGATAGAAAATATGTGTTCTTTATTCAGTGTACTTAGCTCAGAAATAAGTTGAGTTCAATGTAAATGTAAAAATATCAGTGACAGATTGGAACAACACAGCAGTAAACATGTCGTCCTACATGAATTATGAAGATGTCTCATGGGTATTGTGTAACTTATGTGTCCCTTTAGTTTTGACCTTCACCGCTAGCTTCCTTTCTGTCAAATTAATTTAATTTTGAATGCTAAAATAAAGAGATGAGAAGTATAATCTGCCCTTGATTTAATAAAATCTCATGGGGTACTTGGGGTCTCATAGGAGGTCCATGTTCAAGTACTACCAGGAGGTGCAAGATTCTGAAAATAAAAAAATATCTACTTAAACAGCAGTTTCTAACCTGCTCTCTTTGTTTGCATGCATTTGTGAGCACTTTTGACCTTTTCCATTATTTGACACCAGACAAAATAAATTTTTTTAAAATAGAATTGTGTTTTTATTTGAATTGTATATGGAGGGGTAGTTTAAATTATTATGAAACAACTAGAGAAAATAATAAAATAACCAGGTCATATATTTCTGACATCATGTTGTGGGCCTGCGGTGTGAAATCCCTGGTCTAGCAGCTCTTTTAGGCTTTAAGCACAGTGGCATCTTGAGCTAAATGTTTAGCACACCTGTATAATGTTTACCATGTTCACCATCTTAATTTTGCAAGTTAGTATGCTAATATTTGACAATTAGCTAAAA